AGCAGCAGCAGCAGCAGCAGCAGCAGCAGCAGCAGCAGCAGCAGCAGCAGCAGCAGCAGCTGCCCCTGCAGCCGCAACGCGTTTCATCTCTTTGGCCTAGAGACAGCGCAGCACCCGCCCCTCACTCTTGACATCTGCTGCGCTGTTCCGCCGCCTCCTCGCCCGAAGCAGCAGCAGCAGCAGCAGCAGCAGCAGCAGCAACAGCAGCTGGCAGGGGGCCCGGGCGAGCCCCGCATCAAACACAGCATCATCACATCTTTCATTATGAGGGCACCCAAGCAGCAGCAACAGCAACAGCAGCAACATCAAGAGGAAGAAGAAAAACAAGAAGCAGCAGCATCAGTCATTTCAGGAGTGCTGCTGCTTGCAGTCGAAGGGCAGGTCAGTTACTCGTCGCTGCTGCTGTGGCTGCTGCTGCTGCTGCTGCTTTGCTGCTGTTGCTTTTGCTGCTGCTGCTGCTGCTGCTACTACTACTGCAGCAGGGAAATAAATGTAGCAGCTCAAGCAAAAGGTGCAGCACAGGGGTCCACGGCGCGTAAAAGCCCGCTGTAGAGAAGCCCTACTTCGAAGTTGCTGCTGCTGCTGCAGTCATTGCTGCTTTCATTGCTGTTGCTGCTGCTGCTGCTGCAGATAGCTGTTTATGGAATTGTTGCTGGCACATCAGACTTGAGCCCAGAGTTCTCTCGACTGCGGCAGCAGATGCAGCAGCGGCGCTACGAAGAGGCTCTGGACGCAGCAGCAGCAGCACGGGTGCTGCAGGCGCATGCAGCAGCAGCCGCTGCTGCTGAGCCTGCAGGTGCAGCTGCACCAGAACGGAAAGGGGGAGCAGCACACGAGAGAGACGACGACGAGAAGGTGCGGTCCCTTGTGCGCTGCTGCTGCTGCAGCTGCTGCTGCTGCTACTGCTGCTGCTCTCTGCTTGTATTTTGCCGCTGCTGCCAATTGAATTGCTGCTGGTGCTGCACTGCTGCAGGATGACGACAAGGGCCTGCCAACTGCCTTACAGGGACTGAGCGGTGCTTGCTAAACATCAGCAGCAGCAGCAGGAGCAGCAGCTGCAGCAGCGGCAGCAACCGCAGCAGCAGCTGCAGCACTACTGGGATCCCTCAAACAGCAGTGTAGCCCTGCGTAGGCACAGCAGCAGCGGGTCACCTGCTGTTGCTACAGCAGCAGCAGCAGCAGCAGCTGCTGC